CGGAAGAAGAAATGGGGTAATAACTTGCCCCCTCGACCTTCACAATCTCGACGGGAGCCTCGACCAGAGAAAGAGTATACGCCTCTTAATACATCTCGAGCAAATGTCTTGATGGCCATCCGAGATGAAGAGAATGTTAAGTGGCCAAATCCCTTAAAGCCAAAATCAGGAAATCAAGAGCAATACTATCACTTCCACCGTAGCCGTAGACACACAACTGAAGCATGCAAACAACTTAAAGAGGAAATCGAGAGACTAATTCGACAAGGTTACCTTGGTCGGTTCATAGCAAACACACCCAGTCGTAATGACATTCCTCCTGCTGGGGGGCAACCGACACAAAGACAACCTCAAAATAATCGTCAAATGGTTGGAGAGATCGAGACTATCATTGGGGGTCCATTATTATCCAACCAAGTCTTACTTGCGGTGAACGAGGAGCCAGCACAAAAGAAAGTTCGTGCTGACAATTGTATCACTTTTGATGATGTTGATCTAGAGGGCATTCAGATCCCTCATCAGGATCCACTTGTAATTAACGCGGGGATTGGTGATCCATGCTTTAATGTCAAAAGGATCTTAGTTGATAATGGGAGCTCAGTGGATGTCCTATTTTACTCTACTTTTCTTAGTATGGGCCTTGTGAGGGAAAAGCATCAGCCAGTTGCAGGACCATTATATGGGTTTGATAATCGACCTGTACGAGTAGAAGGGACGATTAGCCTCCCAATAACACTTGGGGAATTTCCTCGGCAAACTACTCATCAAATCCAATTCATCGTAGTAAAATCAGAATCAGCTTACAATGCTATTTTCGGGAGACCACTACAATCAATTTTTGGAGTTATTCTCTCTATTCCACATCTCAAGATGAAGTTTTTAACCCCACATGGGATTGGCGTGGTGCGTGGAAATCAACAAATAGCACAATCATGTTATTTGAGATAGGCTCAACCACGCCCATCAGTTGCTCTAAGTATTGAGAATTTTGACCTTCGAAATGAGGACGTCCCTCAGAGGGCTTCCCCTATCGAAGACCTTATATGTATCTCCATATCAGATGAGCACCCATCCAAAACAGTGCAGGTCGGATCTATACTCTCAGAGGAGGAGAAGAGAGAATACGTGGATTTTCTACGTAGAAATCAAGACATTTTTTGCATGGAGTCCAGCAGATATGTCAGGAGTTGACTCAAAGATAATTGTGTATTCTCTCAAAATAAATACAGCCAATTATCCAGAAAAAATGAAATTTTGCTCCAGATCGTCAACAAGCCATTGAAGAGGAAGTTGATAAACTCTTGGAGGTTGGACTTATACGAGAGGTACACTATCCCGCATGGCTGGCAAATGTTGTCATGATTAAGAAAGCTAGTAGAGCTTGTAGGATGTGTGTGGACTACACAAACCTCAATAAAGCTTGCCCGAAGGATAGTTTTCCACTCCCTCGTATTGACCAACTAGTCGATGCCACGTCTGGGCACCAAATGCTGAGCTTCATGGATGCATACTCTGGCTACAATCAGATAAAGATGGATCCCATAGATGAGGAAGCAACAGCTTTTCAGACGAATAAAGGACTATACTGCTATCGGGTCATGCCATTTGGACTCAAGAATGCTGGAGCCACATATCAACGCCTTATGAATAAGGTTTTTAAAGATCTTATAGGGCGAACTATGGAGGTATATGTAGATGATATGCTGGTAAAAAGTCTTAAAAAATCACAGCATATCTCTGACTTAGAACGATGCTTCTCCCTCCTTCGATCCTATGGCATACGCCTCAATCCTGCCAAGTGCACATTCGGAGTCACCTCAGGAAAATTCTTAGGTTTTATGGTTACACACCGTGGGATTGAGGCAAATCCTGAAAAGATAAGGGCACTAAGAGATATGGTGCCCCCAAGGAGCATTAGAGAAGTGCAACGTCTAAATGGAAGAATTGCAGCTCTTTCTCGTTTTTTGGCTCGCTCAGGTGATAAATACTTGCCCTTCTTTAAGACACTAAGAGGAGCCTGTAACTCAGGATTCAAATGGACAGATGAATGCCAGGAGGCTTTCGAACAGCTCCGAATTTATCTATCCTCACCTCCACTACTTTCAAAGCCAGTACCAGGAGAAATGTTGTACATATATATGGCTGTCTCCTCGCATGCTATAAGCTCGGTCTTGATCCGAGAGGAGAATGGTATTCAACGTCCCGTCTATTATGTTAGCAATGTCCTTTCTGAAACGGAAATACGTTACCCGTTAGCAGATAAGACGGCTTTGACATTAATCTTCTCAGCCAGAAAATTACGCCCCTATTTTCAAGCTCACACGATTGGGGTCTATACAAACCTCCCATTAAGAAATATTCTCCAAAAGCCCGAAGCATCTAGAAGATTAATCAAGTGGTCAGTGGAACTTGGAGAATTTGACATCCATTTTCTTCTTAGACCCGACATCAAGTCACAAGTGCTTGCAGACTTTGTGGTCGAATGTACCAACCTTGCCTCTGATGAACCGCTAGTCACTCCTCCTCTTTCACCTTGTTGGACACTATATGTTGATGGAGCCTCTGGGAGTTCTGGTGCTGGGGCTGGAATCTTATTGATCTCTCCACAACAAGTCACTTTCGAATATGGACTTCGGCTGAAGTTTCCTGCTATAAATAATGTTGCTGAGTATGAAGCTCTTATTGCAGGAATACGATTGGCTATAGACTATGAGGTCCAAAATTTGATGATTCATACTGATTCTCAACTTGTTGCCTCTCAAGTTGAAGGAGAATTTGATGCCCATAATCCATCTTTGGCACAATATTGTGGTATAGCAAAGTCACTTCTTACTCACATAAAAAAGTATCAAATTGTTCATGTACTCCGGGAGCAGAATGCCCGTGCAGACGCCCTCTCAAAGCTCGCTACATCAGCAACAATGGACCTTTTCAGAAGAAGTTATATCGAGGAAATACACTTCCTGAGCATCGAAGGTCCCTGGATTATACAATCCATTGATGAGACAAGAGAACCGTCTTGGATGGATCCTATCTTATCATTCTTGCAAAATGGTGTGCTGCCCGAAGACTTGACAGTTGCAATGCGACTCCGAAGGAAAGCAGCTAACTTTACAATTATTGGTGGAGAATTATACAAGCGAGCCTTTACCGGGCCATATCTTAAGTGTCTCCCACCATCAGAGGCCGATTATGCGCTACGGGAAGTCCATTCAGGTATATGTGGAGAACACTTAGGAGGAAAAGCGCTTGCTCTTAAGATTATGAGGCAAGGGTTCTACTGGCCCACGATAAAACAAGATGCATTGGAGTTCGTCCAAAAATGTAATAATTGTCAGCTGCACGCCAACCTCACCCATTCACCTGCTGTGGAAATCTCATCACTTCAAAGCCCATGGCCTTTCGCCCAATGGGGGATAGATATAATAGGACCCTTTCCTATAGCTTCCGGACAACGAAAGTTTATCATATTGGCCGTAGACTATTTTACTAAATGGGTAGAGGCTGAACCCCTGGCAAAAATCATCGAGGCAAATGCCAAACAATTTGTTTGGAAAAAAATAATTTGTCGATTTGGCATTCCAGCAAAGATCATTACCGATAATGGAACTCAATTCACTGGGAAAACTTTCACAGCATTTTGCAAGGATCTTCACATTCAATTGGTACACACAGCCGTGGCCCATCCTCAAATCGAACTATACTAAAGGGACTGAAGACGCGCCTCGGGAAGGCTGGGGGGCAATGGGCTGATGAACTCCCCAATGTCTTCTGGGCCTATCGCACCACCTCTAGGACTCCTACAGGAGAAACACCATACAATCTCTGCTTCGGCACTGAAGCCGTTATCCCGGTCGATATCGGAGTTCCGAGCTATAGAGTACAAACTTTTGATTTCAACAACAATGATGAAAAACTCCGGAATAACCTAGATTTTCTCCCAGAAGTTAGAGACATAGCCTCGCTTAAAATTGCTTCTTACCACCAAAGAGTGGCTCGCCATTATAACCGAAAGGTTAAACCTTGATGCATCTCTATTGGAGACTTGATTCTACGCAGTCTTGAGGCGGCCGGCAAAGGACCCCAACGTAATAAACTCTCTCCCCTTTGGGAAGACCCTTTTATAGTGGCAGCTATGGTTAAGCCTGGAACTTTCAAGTTGAAGGATGCTGATGGAAAGATGCTTCCCAGGACCTGGAATACTGAGAATCTTCGCAAATATTATCAGTAAAGAATAATAGTACTATTTGTCTTAAGTGTTAAAGGTTGTTTATCTCCTATCTTTATCGTTTGTATCCCTATGTTATAACAAGGATGTTTAGTGTTTCTCAATATTGTGAAACTTTGTTCGTTTATGTTATCCTCTTCTCCGAGAGAAAATACATTAACCATTTCACGCATACTGTGAACTCTAATATTAAGATCCTTGATTTGAGAATTACGCAATATTCATTGCATCTCAATCACTGGATGATTGATCCCAGGGGGATTCGATCTAACCTCTTCCATACAGGTTAAAATCATCAAATAACACTTTGATTAACAACCTTGGAAAGGTCAAACATCCTTGGTTGATGTCATATAGATCTTTAAATCCTTGATCAAAGAAAGATATATCTTGATCACTGGATAATTGGTCTCAGGGAGAACCAATTCGACTTCTTCCACACAGGTTAAAAGACATTAAGAATGCTATAACTAATAACCTCGGAAAAGTCAAGTGTTTTAAGACAGTAAAAAAAAAAATCATCATCTGAGTTGAGTAAAATACTAAAATATTCTTTACTGGTTAGTTTGAAATAAAAGCATCAGAAATCATACATGTGGATACAAACATCCTACACATACTAATAACTTAAAAAAAAAAACTACATGTTATATGATTTCAATATCATCATCATCACTGGAGAAGGCCTTCCTCAGCTCACTTTGAACATCATCATCATCTAACTCTGGAGAGGAGTCCTCAGAGGCCTGACTGGGAGATATCCCTTCGATTGTAACCCCTGCCTTACGCTGCACTAATCGAGCACCCTTTAAAAAACCACGGACAAAACCTTCCTCAAGGCACCGACGCTCTAAATCCCTTGCCTCGGCATCAAATAGCTTATTATATGCCTCTTGGACTTGATTCTGAATATTTCGACGATGAGCTGAAGACTTCTTGAATTTTTCCACAGCCTCCAATGATATGGCTTCTGTACGGGCATCAACATCCAGTATGGCTGCATCTTTCTCTAAAATATGATCTTGTAACTTTCTATTAGCTACCTCAAGGGTGCCCTTCTCTGCTATAAGTGTTTTCAAGACTTCATTCTTTTGATTAATCTCTGCACGAGCCTCAATCAACTCGGTGCGAGAACGATCAGCCTCCCGATTTTGAAGGAAAAGAGTGGTGGACATTGTCGCCAGCTCGGCTCGACATTCTGCTAGTTGGCTTTCCAATGTTGACATCTCTTTAATATTTGCTTCCAACCTTCGTTTATACTCCCCATGCAAATATTTAACCTTCACAAACTCTGCATTCCATTCATCCAGCACTATGTCAAACTGAGACTCCATATCCATCTTTTGTTTCATCTGCAGCAGACATGTGATTATGAACATTAAAAAAAAAAGGTGAAGAAAAAAAAAAGGAGATCAAGGAAACTAACCATTTCTTTTGTGCGCCGCCGTCTAATACAGACATGTTTTTAGACATCTTCAGGAATTGGTATTTTGAGGGGCTGAACCTTTCTATCTGAATTAAGGGTTGTAATATCGATCATCAAAGGGCGAATGGGCTCCCTGTATGCTTCGCCATCGCTTGACAAGACCGCTGCATCATTCAGTTTTCTCTTTTTTACAAGAGAAGATCCCACCTCTCCTTGCCCTCTCGAAGGATTATTGGATGAGGGCCTTAGTATGTTCGGACTAGCCTCACGAACCTTCTTAGTCTTCTTTAACTGAATCGCATGAGATCTTCCCGCCTGAACAGAGAGGCCAACCTTAAAAAGTTTTTCCTCCAGCACATACTGACTAATATGCCGCAACTCCTCCTGGAGACTTTTTGTGTCAGAAAAATTAAGAGTTTTCAATATCTCCTCCTCCCCTAGTTGTGGGAAGTTTGGCAGCTCCTTTAACCTCCCCCACTTTTCAGAAAGTCTCCAATCATTCTGTACAAAAAAGAATGAGCTAGACCAATTCTTAGAAGGATCGCGTGTTGAGAAATCCAGCCACTTTCTACCTCTACATAAAACAC